AAAGTGGCGTGCCCTCTCTGATGGTTCAGGACAGGAACTCATGAGTGTTCGTTTTGTAAAGACCAACAAGGAAAGATAGTTCTTGAGTTGTCTTTTTGCTCTTGCTGTTCTTTGTGACAGCGCAGAAGCTCTTTCCTTCTTCTCATGTCCTCGCTGCGGCAGGAAGCTTGTCATTGCCTCAGTAGTGCTGACTCTTATTGGCTGTCTGTCAGGCCTGTGTTTTCTGTAGGTTTTAAACTTGAAGCTATACACTGCTGTGAGACCAAAAGGCTACCTGATTGAGATCAAAGGAAAGGAAAACCATCCCCTGTCCCTTTCTGTAAGGAGCACTGGTGACCCAGTGGATAAATGCTCAGCTGCTAACCAAAAGGTCGATGGTTTGAACCCACCAGCCACTTCGTGGGAGAAAGATGTGGCAGTCTGCTTCCGTAAAAATTAAACACAAAAACAAAAAAACCAAAACCAAACCCGTTGCCACTGAGTCGATTCTGACTCATAGTGACCCTATAGGACAGAGTAGAATAGTCCCATGGAGTTTCCAAGAAGTGGCTGGTGGATTCTAACTGCTGACCTTTCTGGTTAGCCATAGCTCTTAACCACTGGGCCACCAAGTCTTCACATAAAGATAACAGCCTTGGAAACCATATGGGGCAGCTCTCCTGTGTCCTACAGGGTTGCTATAAGTTGGGTTTGGTCCTTTTCTATAACAAACAGGTCTTTACCCTCTCCTTAACCCTAACTTACTTCCCCATCTGCACTGCCCCAGTGTCTTATCCATCCAAAGGCACCCTTCTCATTGGTCTACCCCTAATCTCTGGAGCTTAATGTTTGTCTTTGTCTTGTTGTTATTAGTGCTGTGTGTAGCCCTGTGTTGTGTTCTGGATTTCAGCTCTATTTTGATACCTAGGTGACTGTTTGACTCATACGTTAATCTTACTAGTTCATAGTAACCTGAAAGCAAGTGGCTGCCTGTATAAAAGGGAGAATATGTTCACAGTCAAGTCTTGCTGTCTTCCCACGTGTGGTTGACTTCTCTTCCCACATAAGCAGACATAGCCCTGGACTCTAGAAGGTCGTGACAGGCACCTTGCAGGCAGGCTTGTGTCTGGGCTGGGCCCAGAATTAGATTTGTGGAAGCACCTAGTAGTAACTGCCAGCCCTTTCCCCAAAGGGCATCCTGGGGGCAAACCTGAGTTCTTGGAGGAAGCCTTGGCGTATTCTTTTTTTGGGAGGGGGATAGTTTGGGGGGTTCAGGATTAAGGATGGAACAGATCTGTGGGAGATAGGATGTTTTAGACTCCTTATCTTGCCAGCTACCTTTGTGGGTGCCTACTTCAGCGGGAGCTGAGACTGGCCAACACAAAGCAAGTGGGTGTTAATAGAGACTTAACTTTGGAAGACTCTCCATGGAAGCGGCATTGGGAATGGAGGGCAGGAGGCGGGTGGTACAGCCCAGCTCAGCTCTGGGTTTGGAGCAGAGCGTCCTTGGCCACCTGTGGGCCCCCTTGGTGCCACTGCCACCTGGCGGAGGCTCTTGCAGTCAGTTTTCTGGTGCCCACCTGCTGCCTTTGGAGGCTGCACTGCCCTGGGGCCACCCACTTAGGACTCCATCTGCTTTGACTCCTGGGCTTAGGCCATTCTTGGTCACACTTTGTTCCTGGATGATTTTATTGCCGTTTTCTCTGCAGCCACATAGTAAACAGCAGGCCTCTGCTTAGCTGTGTGCTAAGGCTTTGATTCAGACAGAAATCAGTCCTTTAGAAAGGGGGTGGACATTTCATGTCAGCTGGAGGGATGCCAGCCATTGGGAGGCAGAGGCAGTTGTTTCCTCCACAGCTCTGTTTTGTCCCCTCAGGAAGTAACAGAATAGGGACTGGGGAGGAAGTGTTTGAGTTTCCCTGGGAACTTTAAAGCCCATCACTTTGGTAAATGTCCATTACCTGAAATTTCACCCTCAAATTAATCACTTTCCTTTTGTGGTTCTTCTGTTTCTATCCCAGTTGACCTTTGTCCCCACACCTTTATGTGATTTCATCTCACCTTTGGAAGCACCAAGTAGTCTTTCTTACCAGTGGCAAGAGGCCTATGATTCTTTGCCTTCAGTAGCTGCCAGGAAGAGAAGGGAATCAAGAAGCAGAGGCCCAAGTGGCTGTCCAAGGAGGAAACAGACTTAGAGGACCTCTTTGTCCCTGTGACTGCAAGTGCCACTCCCATACATGTTCCACTGTCCCATGCAGAGTCCATGAATGAGTCCTTGAAACCAGAGTATTTACCAAGGTCATGGTTGTATGCTAATTATCCATGTTGTGTCCCCACTGGGTAAAGGGAGCACATGGTCTTTGGCTCCTTTTCCCGTGCCCTCCACTCAGGTGTGACATAATGGTTATGAGCTCTGCTCTTCACAGAGAGACCAGCAACCATCCCGCAGCACTTTGGTGCTACTTCATTCATGCTTTTCTGCTACTAAATTGAGCAGCAGAGAAAAACAGGCTAGGATTATGGGTGATTGCAATTTCCTAAGTTAGTGTGGACCATACACAAAAGGCTTGGTGAATAGTCACGTTTCATTGTTAACTTAGGGGGAATGTGTTCATGCGTAGTGCTTGCAGTCCTAAATGGGAAGGTGGAGAATGTTGACAGTAAAAAGTAAGCTACAAAACAGTGTGTCCAGCATGACCTCATTTTGGCTGAAGAATGCGCTGCAGGGTTCATTGGAGACTTCTGGGTGGTGAGAATTTACTCCTGGTTTTTCTGTTAGCGTGTCAGTATTACCTACATGTTTTATAATAAAAATGTAGTGCTTCTGTTTTCATACTAAATGGTTATTTAAAAAGCAAGTAGATCATGCCTCACTTCCTCCCTCTTTTCTCCAAGCCCCTGGAGCTGAGAGTCTAGACTGGTCTTGGGGATAAGTGTGAATCCTGTGTGAGCTTCATTTTAGGTGGAATGGAGCTGGCTTTTCACGGTGGAAACTGACGTGAAAGTTGGGAGTACAAACAAGAAATAGGTATTTCACATGGCATAGCTGAATAAGTAAACGACCTCATTTGTTAAAAGCTGTACTTTTATTTCTTGGTTAGGATGTTGAGCTGGGCATGAAATATTTATTTCTAGAGTTTGAGCAGCTGGACTGTCTAGTTGCAGTTGTAGCAGAGGCTAAAGCAATGCATTTCTTTCAGCCCTGCTTTGGGGCATCACCTACCCTGTCACTTGCCTCGAGTGTTTTTGAAGGTTATTAGGGCACTAGAGAAAGAGGGGAGGGTTAAACTAGACCCAACCTTTGCACTCAGGGTAGGGGCATGATTTCCAAGCTGGTGGTTGCGTTGCTGCCCAAGGGGCTGTGTGTGTGTGTGTCCCCACCTTCAGCTCCTGGGTATCCGCAGACTCTGCCCGCTTCCTGCTTCCCTTTGCTGTCCCTGGGGCGATGGTAGGTTGTAAAGCACTTGTACTTGCTTGATTCAGGCGCCGCATGAGATGGGTATAATAGGCATTATCTGTACTCCAGGAGGAAGGAAATCGGCCCAGAAGGCCAAATGGCTGGGCCAAGACCCAGTTGAGTAGCTTGGGGCCTAGGCTGCCATGAATACCCTCAGAGGGCTAATCTGTGCCCCACCCCTGCCACAGCAAGTTAGTTTCCCATTACACCATCTGCTCGTCTGCCTGAAAATGTTCAGTAAACATTTGCTGATAAACTGAGGAAATTTGGTAATGAGAGGTGGGTATACGCTGACAAATATCCTTCTGCCTGGCTGTGTGAAGCTGAAGGGTATGCTTTCTTCAGATTAGAATTCTCAAGCTCCATTTCTGTGTACCGAGATACCTGTACCTACACTCGTGGTGGTTGTTTGGGCTCGAGCAGGTGAGTGAGTCCTGGGAAGTGTGTGACTGCAGTTGGCTTCGCAGCGGCTGTGTGTGCAGTTGCTGAAACTGTTTTGACTGTGCAGGTGGAGGAGTGACCAAGGATGGTGGTCCTGGCTGTAGGTACATCTTTTTCCACGGTTGACCCCTTACAGACAGACTCCCCTTCTGGGCTGGAAAGGTTTCTCTGAGAAGTCTTGAGACTGCCTTTTGATCCAGCTTAGGCACCGCAGGTCCACCTGGAACCCATTGCCAAGGTGAAGGCACTGCAGGGACTTGATTGATTGGGATAATTGGGACTTGTAGTCCAAAGTGGGGGCCCTACCCTGGGGTGCAAAGAGGAGTGGGCTGGGGAGGCAGTGGACAGATGTCCACCTGGCTGTTCCCTTTCCTGCTCCCTTACTGGTGAGCATCTCAGGTGCTTTGGACAGCCTGCTCGGTCTTCAGATGGCTCTCCTTTGCTAGAGATAGAGGTGGTCCTTCTCTTGCGGGGGCCTCAGGGTGAAGTCTGTAGGTGCTCAGCAGATGTCTTGAGACTTAGAGGATGCTTGTGACCGGTGTCAGTGGCGACTCTTTCTGTTATAACCATCTTCCTCCTGCCTGTTTCTGTGCCACAATTTAACTCAGACTGCACCTTCTATCATTCTATTGTTGGAGAGCATGTCATTCCATATAAGTTACTTGTTCAGATAATGAGCATGTTATATATATATATATATTTATATATATATAAAATAAAATACTTGTTGTCATAGTTTTATTTTTTATTAAGGTCGGGACTATTACAACATGAAAGGTTTTTGGTCCTTTATGTAACAAACCCGACTGATAAGTGCTAGTGTTTTGGTAGTTTTCTCAGTATCTTTTCTTCTAGTAAGGAGCTCTGGTGATGTAGTGGTTAAGCACTTGGCTGTTAACCAAAAGGTTTGATGGCTCAAACTCATCAGCCGCTCTTCAGGAGAAAGATGTGGCAATCTGCTTATGAAAAGATTACAGACTTGGAAACCCTATGGGGCAATGCTACTCTGTCCTGTAAGGTTGCTATGAGTTGGAATCGACTCGATGGCAACGGGTTTGCTTTGGTTTGGTTTTTGCTTCTAGTAGTCTCCTCTCTCTCACCCAGTCCCACATCTCTCTTTCAGATTTGTTGTTTACCATCTGCTTAGAGGCTTGGGCAGCAGGACCCATTAAACTGTGCCTGGAGCATCTATGTGGGGAGCCTTGAGGAAGAGTAGATCGTTGATGCCCACACTGGAAGTAGGTTTGCTTATTCCTTACACCATCCCTATCACTGTGCCCCTAATCTCAGGGATACATTGCTGAGTGGGAGCTGCACAGAATCTTTTCTCCTTTTAACCCAAATCCAAGTGATGGTCACTCAGCCCAGTACCTGTGAGAGACCCTGGCTGTCAGTCATTCTCTCTGTCAACCTCACCTGCAATTTTCTCTAGATTTCCTAGCCGAGGAGTCTGTCTGAATGTTTGTCCTCCAGCACAAACGGACTGCAGGTTGGCTCTTAATACACTCGAGCCACCTCCCTTCACTGTGCGGTGCTCAGTGTGAGGCTGCAGGCCAATGCCAGCAGAGCCTTGTGGAGACTTTATCCACGCCTGGATCCAGGTGTGGCCCTTACCATGCCCTGGGGTGGCTGCACAGAAGACACTGGCAGGAGTGGTGCTCTCACAGAGGCACGTGCCTCTCTAACCAGCTTAGGAGAAAAGGAGTTAAAAATGGCATCATTGTTTTGCAACTAGGATGCCAGAAATAACATCTACTCACAGTGAGTTTCTTGGTGGACACGAGGGACTTTATATTTTATATACCCATTTATATTTGGACCTGAATTGAAGCTTGAGCAATTTGGGGATGTAGAAAATATATTATTGGTGAATATAGATGAAGGTGTGTGTTTTTGAGAAATAAGGATTGGAAAACTGTGAAATGGGGAGTTTCTGCAGCAGGTTATTTCTTTCTAAGTTTTTGTTTTAAAAAAATTTTTACATTAGTCTTATATTTCCTGGGAAATTATTAAATACATTTTTCTTGCTAAACAAGGAAAATGTTAAAAATGGGGCTAATGTCTCCCTTTGGCTTCCCCCCAGAACCTCAATTCTTCTTCCATGGTGGGATGTGTGCATGGTGCAGGCTTCTCGGGGACAGACCTCAGGCCTCCATGTCCCAGGACCTGAACTGGGAGCATGAGAGGACACGGTGAGTGCGTGTGCTGAAATTCAAGTCTGACACCTGGACACGTATTTATCCACTAGTTAGTTTCTGGCTGCTGTAACAGGGTCTGAAGAATATGTTTCATTCACCAAGGCTGTCTTCTCCAGCTGTTGGCCCCTACTCCCCATACTTGGTTTTCAAGGTATCATGAAAGCCCCTTTCACTGTTAACACTTGATTTGAGCTGGTTTTTAAAAACAATCATATTTTTTATTCTATCTAGAAACTGGCAGAAGGTCTGTGCCAGACATTCTTAGATTTTTAAATCAAGATAAACATTTCTGAACATTTTCTGTTTGCTAGGCTCCTCTTGCTGGCCTGTGTTCTGCCTTGACCTGCTGACTGTGTACAAGTCTTCTTGGAATGACTTTATGACAGGTGGTGGAGGGCATGGTGAGGGGCATCGCCCACACTGCCTGCCTCTACACCTGAGGGCAAGCTGCTTTACGAATGTTGGTGGGTGCAGATGGTCCTGATGTCGTCTCCTCCCATTCCTGTCATGCTCAGGGAGCCATAGTTTTTCATTGCTCCTCCCAGGGAGAGGGTCAGCGTGCACCACAGCCTTCCAAGGCCTTGGCTTGTCCATGCTACAGCATGTGTCTTCGTACTCCGTAGTGTGCCATTGGGCCTTGTAAACTGCCACCTCCCCCCCTCCTGCCCCCCCCCAAAAAAAACCCCACACATGAAAGGAAAAAAAAAAGACAAATGCCTGAGAATTTCTCCTCAGTCTTCAAAAATTTGACTGAATCTCCACTCCTCTGTTCTGCTTTTCCTAATCACAGTGGTAGGTGGGGGAGGGGCTGCCCACCCTAGGCAGGGCTTGCTTAGGCACAGTCCAGCCCCCTGAGTGGGATGGAGGCAAACAAATGGGGCTCAGGGGATGTGTGAGGGGCCTCTCTGCATTGTGTAGGAAGAAGGCCGCACACACCAGACTCAAAAGTAACACAGCCACGTTGTTGTTAACCCTCTTCTATTCTAGATTTTCTAATCTAGCCACTGCTATTAGGTTTATAACTCAGGCTTATGGAAAAATTTAGATTCATATTTTTGTGTATACCAGTGTCTTAAAAAAAAAAAGGAAAACCAAACCAGTTGCCGTCGAGATGATTCCAACTCATGATGACCCCCTGTGTGTCAGAGTAAAGCTGTGCTCCCTGCATAGGGTTTTCAATGGCTGTGAACTTTTAGAAGCAGATCACCAGGACTTTCTTCCAAGGCAACTCTGGGGTGGACTCTAACTACCAACATTTTGGTTAGTAGCCTCACGCTTAACAATTTGTGCCACCCAGGTATTCCTTAAGAAAGAAAGAAAGTCTTGAGCAAATAGCATGCCGGTTAATTATGTTTTGTAATCCTATTGCTGTTACTTTCAGCCTGCTTTATCTGTAGCCTAATTGTGCGTAGATTTAGCTTACTATTTTGTAAATGCTGCATTTTTGTTGTTTTCAGTGGAGTAAGTTGTTAGGTGGTCCAGCTTCAATGAAGTGATTTGAAATTTGCATGGAGAATTGTTAGTGAACATTGATTGGAACAGGATGGTAGACGTACATGTTTCTAAAATCTTGTTGGGCATATATGTTTATTGATCCTGTAGTTATTGAACCTGGATTTTGTAGTTCTTGGCCTTTTTCACGCCTGACCTGGACAAAGATGTGAAAGTACTTTTATTATGCTCTCTAAAGGCACTTTCCTCATCTGAGCCATGGAATACAGGAATTGAGCCCATGATTCTCTTCTCCGTTCTGAGGATGTGCAGAGCTGGTGCACATTGAGAAGCGTAGGAGAGAAGTTGAGTCACTGCATAGAGTGATGTCTTAGGGCATCTAGACTCGATTCTGTAGTTCAGAAAGGCTGCTCTAGAGCTGTTGTTGTTGTTAGGTGCCATCGAGTCGGTTTCAACTCAGTGAATTTAAATATAACAGAACGAAATGTTGTCTGGTACTGCGCCATTCTCACAGTCCTCTACAGCAGGTCTTAGAAAATCTGTTCTGGGCCAGTCAGTGAATACTTTAGGCTTTGTAGGCCATAGAGTCTCTCGCAACTGTTCGCCTCTGTCATTGTGGAACAAGATAATCCGTGCAGATGCCATAAATCTGTCGCCATGAAATAAGTTTTAGAGGCTGCATCAAGGATACTCTAAAAGAACAAAATAGGATAGGAAATACCAGCATGTTGCTCATGTGGTAGATCACTACTGGTTCATGAAAGTTTTATTTTCATTATGTGAGTGTGTTCTGGATTGTGATATAACATATTCTTACTGTGGGTTACAGATTTACAAAAAAAAGATGGAAAAAGCCTCACCACAAGAGACTTTGAACAGTTATTAAATTAATCAATTTACTCAACAGATGTTGAGTGCTTCCTGTGCATATATACTGATTAAGACAACTAGAAGTAAGACATAGTCCTCCTTCCCTAGGTCTGTGGTTCTCCAAGTGCAGGCCCTTGGCCAGCAACATCAGCATCGCCTGTAATGAGAAATTTTACTTCTGATTTGTTAGACATGCAAATTCCCGCTATCCTACCACTACTAACGAGAATTTGCAGGTGGGCCTGGCAGTCTTTGCTTCAGTGAGCACATCCCCGGTTGATTCTGATGCACCCCAAGATATAAAGACACTGTTCTAGCTCAAGGTCCAGACAGTGGCTCTTATTTTTTCATGTGTGTGTCACGAGCCCTGTTGAATATCTGGTGAATGAGATTCTCTTCCCAGAGATGTGTATGTGTTCACAAAAAATATTTTATACAGAATTTGGGTAGATAGGGAGGGAGGTGTTCACTAAGCAGGTGGCACTGGAACTGGGTCTGAAGGAAAGGTTTGTGGGGCTTGGGAGGGGGCATGATATACCTGTGGGTGTGTGTTATACAGTAAGAAACAATGGAGATAACGTGATCCTGCATTGGAGGCCCTTCTTACCACCATCACGCCCTCATTTGATGCCTCAGTTTGAACTAAGTTAATGTGCTTTCCATTCCCTGCACATAAATTTACTAATTCCATCCGTAATAGGTTTCTTTAAAGTCATATCCTGTATTTTTTTGATGTCCCCTCTCCTTTCCTTTTTGTCAGTGTCTGTGCATCACCTGCCTGAAGCCCCCAGTGTATACTTCCTCCACCCAACTTCCATATACCCCTTCTTTCCCATCCTGCTGTGCCTGGCACAGGCCCTTTCCTGAGGACTTCTATTATTATTTTTATTGTTGACTCCATTACTGTTGTTTTGTGTTTGCTCACAGCCAGCATTCAGAATCTCTTTGGGCAGATCTTATCAAGGACTCTTTAGATCGTGGTTTGCAGCCACATTTCCTCTTTTTCTCTTAATTCATTATATAATCCCTAGGTGAATTTTAGATCTTTTATAGTATGTGACTGTCAGAGACATTTGAAAGGCTGCTTAAAAAATTTTCATACGGAGAATACTGGAAATTTTTCAGTAAAACTTTGAGCTCTAAATGTAACTTTCTGTACATTTGAGTTTGAATTTAGCTGGGTGTCCACCCCTTCTTGTACTTCTCATGCTTCTGTGAGGTTCCTGAAGCAGTGTAGTTCATTTCAGTTGCGTAAGGGTTTACATGATGCTCTATAAGAAGGTAACAGATGAAATAGAACTTGAATTTAGACATAAAAAGCTAGTAAGACGTCCATTTTAAAGATAGCTAATCTTTGTTTAAATGGCAACAGTACTGACACTTAAAAGGAGATTTGATAACTCCTTATCTTCTACCCAACCAGAAAAAGTTTATTTTTTTTTTTGGATTCATATTTCTGAAATAAATTATCAGATCAGCTCTTAAAAGACTTAGAATATGTAAGCATTTTAGTATTGGCTCACTGTAGAGTTGTTTGCTGTCTAATACAGTAGCACTAGCCACCTGTGGCTATTTAAAATTAAATAATAAAAAATTTAGCTCTTCAGTCATACTAGCAATATTTCAAGTTCTCAGTAGCAACACATGGCTAGTGACTTCTGAATTGGATAGAACAGCATTGAACAAGTCCATCATCTCAGAACGTTCTCTTGGATAGTGCTGGTCAAGGCAGTTTACCAGGTGATTTTTTTGATCTGTGGTTTAGGGCAAATAACTTTAGAGGGAGCGCTTAATAATTTTTCTTTATTGTACTTTAGATGAAGGTTTACAGAACAAATTGTTTCTCATTAAACAGTCAGTACACATTGTTTTATGACATTGGTTAATAACCCCACGACATGGCAACACTCTCCTTTTCAACCTCGGCGGACCTTTTTATTTTTATTTTTGGTGAAAATATACATAGCTAAAGATACACCATTTCAAAAATTCTACATGTACAACTCAGTGACATCAGTTACATTATTCCAGTTATTCTCACTGTTCGTTTCCAAATTATTCCATCACCATTATCTTCAACTCACTGTCCCCTAGGCTTCCCATCAAACCTTTTGAGTTGCTCTTGTCAATTTGATGTCACACAGATAATTCTTCTTTTTTTT